CAGGAAATTCTTTCCTGCCACATGCCATCACACTGTACATTAACAGCTAAACTCTGCTCACATAATAATACTGTCTCCAACGCACTTATATGTTTTATCTGCTTCACTGCACCCCTTAATTTTTATTTTTACTTGCAGTACAATGTATACAGTTCTATTTACGATTTTATAATTTTTTATTTTGCATTTATATTGCTTTTTTTTACTATAGTATGTACTAGGTTGTTCTCCCTACCTTATTGTGTTTGCTACTGTGTGACAATGCTGCTCTACCACTGCAATTTCCCAGCTTGGGATCAATAAATCTATCTATTACTCATACTCTATCCTATTCTATCTAACTCTATCTATCTCATCTATCTATCTCTATCTATCTACTCTATCTATCTATCTATCTATCTATCTCAGTCTGTTGTCGATCACCACTCCCAAGTGTCTGTCAGCTTATTCATTCGGGAGTTATAGGCTTCATCTAGATTTTGTTTGCTTAAATCTTAAATCAGTTTTCACCCTTACACCTAATTGAACATCAATATGATCGGATGTAATTGCTAAAATTGTATTTAATTCCAATTTGAAGAGTCAGTCCTTCATGCTGTCACTAGCTGGCTGTTGTTAAAAATAATAAGCATAGATTCATTTTCATTTGGATCAATTTCTGCACCCAATTTCAGATTATCTTGAGGAAGTACAGATACATTGGCTATAATCTATAATTACCTCATAGTCGAGTCCTTTCTTCACCATCAGCTCGTCCCCTTTTAAGTAGAACAGATCTTCAGGGTTCACAGTGACTGTCAGTGTTACATCATCGCCGGAGCTGATTTTCACCACCTGGACGTCAGCCGTGTTGTTTTCTGGGACCGTGACGGGGCCCGGAGGAACCGTGCAAACTGACAGAGGTGAGACACATCAGTTTAGATAAAAGACAAAGTCAACACCAAGTCTGTGAGGAAAAACAGGATAACTGGGAACTAATGAGATAAAGAACTACAGTATTATGATAACGTGTGTTTAGTTATCAGTAATGACTTTGGGAAACCTTTAACAGCACTTTACTTGAGTCTTTTCTTTTCTTTCTACTTCATTTATCTGAAAGTTTAGTTTCTTTACAAAAGCAGATTCTGGCACAAAACATTTGGAAAGTTTATAAAATATGATGTTTTGTTAATTAACAGAAAATTAACAACTATTTTGATCACTTCTCAAATGTGAAGATTTGCTGCTTTTCCTTTGGGTTATTTTAATCATTTCAATGTACTTGTAATAAGGGATGTTTGGCCTGCTGTCCCATTAATCTGTGACAGCATTTCTAACTATTTTCAGAACTTCTATTAACTGAACAATCAGTTGATTAATGGAGAAAATGATCAGCAGACGAATCCATAATGACATTAGTTGCACTCCGATACAAAATGAGCTCAACCTCAACCAACAACAACAGTAACGTCCTGCTTTTACATTAATGTCATTATAAGCTAAAAAAACATTTCTATATTCACTACTTTTACTTTTAATGCTTAAAGTACATTTCCAGGTTTATATTTACATACTTTTACTTATATAAACGATCTGACTTTACACACATATACTGCTGCATGAAGAAGTGGTTAAACTCTTAATTTACGCCTCAATTTGTTTTTGAAGCAGCTCTCCAGTAAAAGATAAACTTCCTACTCTTGCGTATTTAGTTCACCTAAACTTGGGCCGATAGCATTTGCACACAGTCAATACTGGCCCACAAACGGGTGAGACAGCTACATAAAAGTATGATTGGATAGAGCTATGTCATGCCTTCATCATCCTAGGGGGGCGGAAACATTCTGCTTGCAGGACACCACTGAATGATCTCTGCTTCATCCTGTAACATTAAAACATTAAATTAAACTAACTGATGTAAACAAGTAAGATGGATTGTAACTGGATGTGTTGTAATGTTTAGTTGTTGTTGTGTTTTTATTGATTTTTGAGTGTCTTTGTACGATCGTGAGACTTTTATACTCGTTATTTGTCTTCTTTGTTTGTTTGTTTTTGACCCAGGAAGAGTCTACCTACGTGGGTGGCAGCTGATGGGGATCCAAGAAGAAAGAAAGAAATTAAGTATTTCTGGTTGAATTAATCTGTTCGGGGCCTCCAGGGCAAACACTTACGGTTGGGCCCCTATGTGATATTGTACTTAAAGGAATATTCAACATTTTGAGATATATTGCCTTTCTGGTGGAGAGTTAGATGAGACAACTGTCGTGTCCGCACAATAAATAAGAAGCTATAACAAGCAGCCATGTTAGCTTAGCTTAGCATAAAGACTGGAAACAGGGGTAAACAGCTAGCCTGGCTCAGTCTGAAGGAAACAACATCAGCCTGCCAGCACCTGTAAAGCTCACTCATTAACACATTTTATCTTGTTTGTTTTATAAACCTAGTTCAAGGTTAATATCAAGTCCTAAAGTCCTAATGTTGTTACTGTTGTGATATGTGACAATATCTACTGTTTTTTTGATGCTTTATTGAAAACAAATCCCACCAACTCTGATGAATTAAACATAAATTAAGCCTTTAAAACAGTGATTTTTTCTGTATTTTCTGTCCTTTAAAGCAATGTTTCCCAACCTGAGGGTCAGGAACCTCCTATGGGCCCCAAAATCGGACAAGATCACCAGATTACCTTAAGTTTCACAAAATTATGTGAATTTTTTCGTACTTTTCTCCTTTTTTTTGTGAAATGCTGAATTATTTGCCCTTGTCAGGCCTCTAAAACTCTTTCAAAATAGAAATCAGAAGAGGAAAAATCACTCTTCTCTTCTTCTCGTGAGGGATCACAATTAGACGTAGCTTCATCTTTTAGGGTCCACAAGCCGAAAAGGTTGTGAACCACTGCTTTAAAGGAAGGAAAGGAAACATCTACTGTCTGTCTCACTGACTCTGCAGCCTCATCAACATCCTCATCCCTTCCTGCCCTCACCAGCGACAGATGACACCCTCCACAGAAATCAGAGCTCTACTCACGTCTTTCAGCAGGACAAAGTGTACAAAAGCAGACGGCGACGATGCATCCGAGGAGAACAGATTTGCTCTTCGATTTCAGTTCCATGTCCTGATTTCAGAGGCAGCAACAAATGAAGTCCTCGAGGAGGATGAGGAGCCCGTGGTACCAGCTGGTACTCGTCCACATAATGCCCCGTCTGTGCTGCCCGGCGAGTGGGAGTCGACTACAGTTGCAATGTTTGTGACTTCATCTTACGGGCACATATTGCATTAAGCGCCTGCCAGCAGAGGACTCGCAGCCTCCTACTAAAATACTTGCATCTGTTTTAGCTGGACGGGTCATTCTGTATTGGTGGCCCTGGTGCATTCTGGGAGGAATCCAGCAGAGGAATGTTGGCAGCTGGAAACATTTCTCACATAGATAAATACTAATATATATATCTACATATATATGTAGTAGCTATATTTAATACAAAATACTCTTCAGGTAAGACAGACCTGTTTAAAGTTGGATTAGTCTCCTTGTTATGAAATTTGATGATAACATACAGTAGTTATCATATACACGCATACATATACATGCACATAGTATATACATATATGCATAAATTAACTGTTTGAGAAAACGTATAAAAGTCAACTGTCTTCACCAAAAAGTCAAACTCTTGAAATACATTTGTTTTGCTGACCTCAATTTTTTTTTAAATAATTCTTCTTTAGAAAAACGTTAATCTTTAAAAAAAAAAAAAAAAAGAGAAAATTCTCTATTTTTTTTTACTTGTTGTCATTAAAGAAAAAAAGCTGTGAACCAAATTTTCATTATTTGGTTGCTTGAAAAATAAATAGTTGTAATTGAAAAAATTAAAACATATATATAATCATGAAATACAGATGTAAAGATTCAATTTATTCTACAGAAGAAAAGTAAATTTGACTTTCACTTACAATATAGTAAAGACAGTTTCCTTGAAATTATGAGTTTTCTCAACTTCAGTTTTTTACAATGTGCACATTCACACATACTAAAGGTTAAAGGTTGGAAGCTATACTTTGTTGTTTGGAGTCTTGAATATTTCACTCAAACTAAACATCAAGTTACTTAAATGAGGAGCTGAAACAAGATGTTAGACAATATGTGAGACGTTGTTTTTAACAACATTAAAGGGGAAAACTGGGTGTGGCTACACACATGAACACATACAGAACCAGTAAAGTAATAACATTACTTTTGACAAGACTGATGAGTAATAAATGACTAATAAATTACATTTTTTGAGTAATAGGCCAACATTGCTAGAGACTATGTACTTTTTCTCCAACAGAAGTTATCCTATTCAATTGGTTGGAGTGTTTAAAGTCAGTAAATAATAAACAACCAAAACAAAATGAAGTACAGAGGCAGACTGTTCCTTTAAATGTAAATTCAAATGTCAATATAGTCCTCAAAACTATGTTTTAATGTGCACAGTTTTATAAATATCGTAGAATTGTGGGAAATCTTATTTGGATCCCCTCAATGTTCACACTGTGGTTGAGACCTTACTGGGAGGTTCAGGTGTGCTGTGGGAGTTATAATATATACATATATAATAAACTAAGTACACAAAAAGTTATGAATTAATCTGTAATTGTATTGTATTATATATATATATATATATATAAAAAAAACTTCCCTCTACCCTCTTGGGGTGGTACCTGTGTCAATCCTCAAACTCGGTCCTCTTACCAGAAAAGGCCTGGAGCTTGAAGGTTTCTGCGCAGTATCGTTAGCTGTTCCTGGATGCGCTCTTCTGGACTGAGGCTTCCCCTGAAAATGGTTTTCCTGGGGGGATCTTTTGTTGGGAGCCAACCTTCCCCCATCTTAAGGGTCCCACTCCCCATCTCCTACCCTACCCGGGATCACGCGCCTGTGGACCTTCCCCCCCACCATCTGGGGCTTCCCAGCGTTCTTCCAACCCCTGGTACTTTTGTTCCAAACTTTTTCGTGTTCCTTTTCTTGATTTGCCGTTGCTGTATGGCCAACATCCACACACCGCTTCTCTGCTCCTGTCTACCACCTAATGCTGTTGGTTGCCAGAACCGTTTGTCCCCCAAGTTCCGGAAACCTGAATCCACAAGCCACCTTGGGCCCCCCTGTTTTCTTCAGCCAAAACCTTCCTGTTGGTTTGCGCCCAATTGAAATTAGTTCTAATTTCCCCATACCTGGGTTACAGATTCCTTAAACCACATCCAAGGCCCCCACTGGTGGTGTTCCTTCTCCATGGTACGCTTGAACCGGCTTAAGCCCCAATCTTCACAAAACCTGGCTATGAAAAATGCGGAACCAGTTCCAAGGGCCATGCTTTGCATAAGTCTGGCCCACCTTGGGTTCCAGATTTTCTACTCTGGTAATCCTTTGCCTCTATGGCCTCTTGTTACCTTAGCTGTTCTGTGTCCGCCCATGATCATGCCTCTTTTTGCGTTCTCCTGAGTCAAGCCCTTCCCAAGCCATTGTATGCCCTTTTCGAATACAGTTTCTTTGGGTGGGTAAACAATGCATGTTAAGCTCCTTTTTCTCGCAAACTCTAGGGGCTCCGTCCTGAGAAAAACCAATCGCCAGCCATTTTTCGTTCTTAAGGCATTTCCCCTGAATGTAACTCCTTTGAAAATTTTCTTGAAATTGTTCATCCGGGAAAAGTGGCCTTGATGGCTCACTTAGCTCTGCCTCCCTTCTTTTCCCGCTTTTAGCGTAACAGTCATTTCAGGTGGAATTGGGATTGGGGGTTTTGGGTAACCCTCCCCGTTGGCATGGGTGGAAGGAGCCTTCCCCGGTCCTTGAATTTATCCTGTTGGGGCTTCCCCTTCATCTCCTCCCCTTTGGCCAGTTTTAATGAACCCAAGCAAGGTATCGAAGACCCCTGGGTTAAATGCCTACATTTTGAATTGGCTTTGGAAAATCTTGGGACTAAAATAAAAACGAATAAAAAATATGTAACACCTAAAGGAGTACTTTTTAAACTTTTTTGAACACCTTAAATCTGTCCATAATTTTAACAATAAGTAATTTTGAAAGCAAGAATTTACCCTCCTTATCAGAAAAGTTATGTTGTTTATAAATAAATAAAATGAAAAAATACTTCTTCCCACTTATCTTGTTAGTATATATGTCGTTCCCCTAAACTGAAAGTCCTCAATAATATAATAATGTTGTTTTTGGAGGACAAAAATTTATACTTAAGATCCCCAAGTGACCACTATAATAACTTTCCAATGAAGTAAAACCCTTAAAATGTATTATTTGTTATCCCTGGCCCTGCCACCAAAATGTGGGAAATTAATCGGCGCGAAAATATCCAAAACAAAATGTACCTATGGTCCCTGAAATAAAAAAAAATAAATCCTATAAAAATACAGAAACCCACTTTTTTTAAAATATGCCTTTTTAAAATGAAACATATATTTGTTTTTTTGATGTCTTCAGTGGAAACCCAGTGGGGAGCCACAAGACAGGAAGTTCCACGAAAGTAAACAACAACACTGTTGGATTGGCCTTTAACAGGAAAAACCTGGCCTTGAACAAAGAAAACATCAGTAAATTTCCCAGT